ACTATCTCAGTCATCCATGAGAGCTGAGCATGACCACCAGGGGGCGCCGAGAGCAATTACAGGCAGAGTGGGTAATTTCGCTCCTCATTTCTTTGCATATTTGAGTAATAATTCCTATCAAAGAAAAAACACCTTTGTGCAAACTTAAATCTGCAGTCTGTTTTTCTATGTTCATTAACAATATAACAGACAAATAGTCTAGTGTTCCAATGTAGTTGGACACATTAGAAGGTCAAACCAGTTTCCTGTAGCTGTGAGAGTGATCAATGATCAGAATTATTGGTAAAGAATAGATGGCCGATAAGTCATTGTGTCCCCTGGAGGCTTAGATTGGTACTGCATCTGCCTGTTTTTCTCAGGTTCATTTGAGTTTTGGACTTAGTTTTAGATTAAAAACCTTTGTGGTTGGTCTGCATACAGCTTCTTTCTTCCCCCATCACAGCATTCATTCAAGAGCTGAATAGGATAAACAACTATGATCTAGAACAGTGGAACTGCTCAGGCTTTAAGCTCTGGGGCCTCTGGAAGTAAAAAACCCTGTTGCCACGAGAATGTTTATGCACACACAAAATAACCAGAGAGGCCTTTTTATCTCTGCATATTAAGATTTCTGCTCCCTGCAGGCCTGCAGAACACAGAGGATGTTCAACCTGCATCCAGAGGTAGGAAAAGACAGCCCAGCACCCCTCTGCTGACCTTACAGTCTCCAGTCCATACTCAGGGCTGTCCACCAGAGCACAAAGACTCTCCACATCTGGTTTTCCCAGGTAGTTTCCACCCAGGTCCAGTTCCACTAGGTGGGAGGGGTTTGACTTCAGGGCTGAGACCAGAGACCTGCAGCTGATCCCAGACAAGCTGCACACCTGCAGTCTAAGGAGAACAAAGGACAATCTGGGTCCAATCACATTCAGAGTAAAGCCAGTAAAGACAGATGTTGCACACAGATGTGACTGTGGGTCCAATCACATTCAGCTGGTCTCTGACAACCAGCAGAGCTCCAATCTGAATAAAGAACTAAATCTGTGAGCTGAAGACTTTACCATGAAGAGCAGTACAGCTTTGAGCTCATCCTCTGATCTGAACTAACCACTAAAACCTGGAGTCTGACCTCAGAGTCTTCAGTCCACAGAGTGGACTCTGCAGAAAGCTGCTCAGCTCCTTCATCACACACACAGAGATGGGGTTCCTGCTCAGGTCCAGTTCGGTCAGATGGGAGGGGTTGGACTTCAGAGCTGAGACCAAAGAAGACCAGCTGGTGTCTGACAAACTGCAGCCCTCCAACCTGAATAAAGAGTAAAAGATGTGAGCTGAAGCCAACAGGATGCAGGTTACAACAGTCAAACAGAACCAGAGAAAAAGAGCTCTCATCCACTTTAATGACAACATGCTGCTGTTGAATATTTGAATGTTTGAATATTTGATAGAATGAGGCACAGAAATAGAGGATAGTGTAGAATAATCCTATCTTTCTGAAATCATAATGATACACTTAAACAAGGACATATGATAAAAACATGTAAAACAGATAAGGCCCATTTCCACTGGTGTCTATTCAGCTCAGCTCTGCACGTCTTTTTTCTTTTCCACCAAACA